GTTGCCTCCTAAGAGCACTTGTTTAACGTTACGAGCCTGACTTTTTTGTTAAATCATGGTGGGAAGAAGGCATAAGTCTTAGAGGTGACTCCCTTGAAATGTAATTGTCTTCCCAATAGCTTCTTCCCTAGAACACCTGTCACACCAGAAAGATTAATCATAAGAAAAGGATCAAAACAAAGAGAAGAAAATGCTAACTCTAAATCAGGAGGCTTATTAGTGGATGGTTTGAGCTTTGGTCTTTTCTTCTTTTTAGATGGCTTCTTTCTTTGTTTTCTTCTTGCAGTTGTATGCCTTGTAGAATTCAAAAAGGGAGAAGTAACATCTACAGTGCTCACAAAGTCACAAGACTCTTGGCTAGACCGTTACTTTAAGTGTTAAAAACTTGAAAAACAACTTTCTCATCATCTAGCCTCAATGTGAACTTTCCCTCTTGTACGTCTATGATGGCCCTTGCAGTGGCAAAAAATAGTCACCCTAGTATGATGGGGACATCATCATCTTCCTTCATGTCAAGCACCACAAAGTCAGCAGGAAATATAAACTCACCAACTTTTACAAGTACATTCTCCATTATGCCTTTGGGGTATGTGATCGACCTATCTGCCAGCTAAGGTGACATAGAGGTCGGCTTAGGTTTATACATTCCAAGCTTCCTGAAAACAAACTAAGGTATAAGATTAATAGTTGCTCCTAAATCACATAAAACTTTATCAATATGAGTTTTTCCAATCTGCAAGGAATAGTAAAAACCCTTGGGTCCTTAAGTTTAGGTGGAAGCTTTTTAAGGAATATAGTTGAGCACTCCTTGGTGAGCTTCACAGTTTCATGTGGTCTTTACTTTCTTTTATTGGTCAAAATCTCTTTTAAAAATTTAGCATATTTGGATATTTTGGAAATAGTATCGATGAAAGGCATATTGATGTATACTTTTTCTAATAGGTCTAAGAACTTGTTGAACTCTTCATCGTATGGAGGGTGACCCTACAACCACTATGGAAAAGGTATCTTAGGCTCATAAGGCCTTGGTTGCACAAGAGCTTCTTCATTCTTTTCTTTTTCAGGCTCCGCACTTAAAGCATGACCTTACTTGTGATGATGCACAGTTGTGCTTTTATCATTGACATGGGCGTCATTGTTTAAGCACGGGCGTCCTTCTATTGCAGCACGAGCGCGCTCATCAGTAAGCATAGACGTGCCTGTATGATCAACATAGGCATGTTTCTCATTAAGCATGGGCGTGCATGAGCCTCTATTCTACGATTCTTGTAATTTTTTTCCACTTCTAAGGGTGATGGCATTGCATTGCTCCTTTGATTAGGTTTAGGCTGAGATGGTAGTATTTCCAATGTTATTTGACTTAGAAGATTGGTAAGTTGTTGAAGTTGTGCTTTTATCTCATATGTGTCAAAGCTTATTTTTTAGAACTTTTTGTTCATTGTTTGGGCTTGCTACTTTATCTGAAGGCTACGTGTTGTCATATACTCCAAAATTGGTCATTCTTCCGCCTTTTTCTTTTTCTTTCTGCACTTCTTCCTTAGTGTATGTTGTCTTCTCAATTCTCAGATCAACCAAAAAAGTTGTAGAACACTTAAAACAAGTGAGCATACACTAAAAAGTTATTAAAAAAATATAATAAAACAAAAATACATAAAATAAATATATATTTTTTAAAATAAACAAAACAAATTAAAATAAAGCAAAACACGAATTGCTCAAATCATTAAATTTGATATTTTCTTAATATTGGAAAGACAATCCCCAACAACGGCGCCAAAAACTTGTTCGGAGGGCAAGTGTACTCATCGATATGTAATAAAGGATTCTAAAATAAGTTCCCAAAATATCATCCCACAAAGATTGATTTATAATCACTAAGAATTTCTTAATTCAATTGTTTGAGCCTAAAAGATGTGAAATTAAGTAAGAACCAGAATTTAATTATAAAATTAATTATGAATAAAAGCAAATAACACAACACACATCTTAGTTGAACTTATAAGCGAGGAATCTAGGGCATATGAGTTTTCTCATTCAATCCTTTATGTTATTTTTCCATTTAACTCTAAATTTGATTTTTTTTGTGATTACCAATCATTCATACAACTACTATTAATACCCAATGATCATACAATATTAATATTCTTTTTCTAAGTTAATATCCCTAATGATCATGCAAGACATCAATTAAGAAAGAATAAAGTACCTATGAACTTGTTAATTTAATAACGATTGGAAGAGAAAGATTGGTTTGGTCCACCTAATCCTTTTCTCATTTTACCCTATAGATCCATTAACTAATCGAGGTACAATCTCCTAACAATATAATTAATTAGGATTATAATTATGCGCAATAGGATAAAAGCTAATCATGAACGGAAACCAAATATAAATTCAAACTTCAAAAATTTCATAAATTCATGAACAATAGTTCTCATAGCCCTAACTATGGACTTAGTTACTCATGCTAAATAGAAGAACTAAAACAATCGTAAACAAAGTCATAGAGAAAAGCAAACTAGAAAGAGATATTTCTTGGTCTTCAAGTACGGTCGCTCGAAGTTCCAAGTTCCATCAAGAGTATGCCAACAATCCAGTGCAAGAGAGACAAGATAAAAGGTGTATCAAAGAATAAAAGACAATATGTAAACAGTGTGTCCAACAAGATGCCTGAGGTATCTCTTTTATAGGGTTTGAAAATCCTAAAAGCTCTTTATAATTGGGCTTCCCATAGATGAGCACAGTCGTGCAAGGCCTTGTTGAAAGGGTTTAGGCGTACTGACTATTGTGAAGCTCTGATCTTTCATCAATTTGGGCCTAAAATCCACTTGTGACCTCTTCATACTAAAATGCATATTTAACATATAAATCAGTGTAAAACTCAATTAAAATAAAGGCTAAACATAAATATATGGGTCGTAGAAGAGGACCTAATTATGGATTTATCAAAACTCGACTCATAGTTTGACATATCACCAAAATAGTTAACATTACCCAGAAATGCTTAGAATCTGTAGGGGTGTAGCCATTCAGAAAAAAACTGCGAATGTCATATCTTCCAAGTCTAAGATCTCTTTTGTGCAAAATCAGACTCCAAACTAAAGCTGCAAAAGAGAGCTTCAAAATGAAGCTGCGAATATTGCTGAAACAGTAAAACGGGTCTAAACGTGCAAGCATGTGGAACAAGTTGTGAAGGCCAATTCTTTTGCCTACGGGCTCCATTTTTTGCAAAACAAGACTCCAAACTGAAGCCCTAAAAAAGTGTTTTGCATCTAAAAAAGAATCGTCTTAAAACTCGACTCACAGTTCGAAATATCACCAAAACAGTAAACGTTACACGAAAATATTTTAAAACAAAGTAGGACAACAAGAAGAAGGACTAGAGTATGAACATAATGGTGATGATTGAGACCAAAATAAAGAACGGTAAAAGGAAGAAGCACCAAAAAATCAAATTGATCATGATAATGATACTGATAAGTAAAGAAGTAAATGGAGAAGGAATTTTTATGGAAGATATATTTAACAAATGGACTTAAAGGCTTCTTTTGTTTAAATTACTATTTTCTTTATTTTCTTTAATGATGTAATTTTCTTTAAGGATCTAAAGATATACTTAATGATATAATTTCTTTTATTTAAATTGTTTCTTTAGTTAACTCAACATATTTTTTTATATATTAAAAATGTCTTTTCTTTCTTTGATAATGTCTTTTAGTTTGTTTTTCAATTCTAACTTTTAGAAACATATATAGTATTTTTTGAATAATTTGCTTAGGAATTCTAAATTTGCTTAAGTGAATCTCAATTCACTCAAATTAGGTGTAATTTGTTTAAGAAAAATATCATGCCTTAAAAAGTCTATTCTTATCATAATTTACTTAAGTCATTTTAACTTCACTTAAGCAAATTTAGTTTTATTTAAGCAACTTGCTTGAGTTTGCTCTCGTCCAACTTTTGTTTAAGGTAATTCATATTCACTTAAGCAATTTGTATTTTGTTTAAGCAAATATATTCTTGCTTAAGTCAAAAATTATGCTTACAGTGTTTGTTATTTGTTTTTTTACTTCAAGTTATTAATATTTAGTAAAGCAATAAATTTGCTTAATGATATGCAAATCACTTAAGTGAAATTCAATTATACTAACATATTCTCACTTAGATGAGCTATATATTCAATTAAGTTATTCACAACCCACTTGTGTGATAATTGTACTCACTTAAGCAACTACTTTAAAATTTACTTAACGTTTAAGTAAAAAAATAACAAAATGTTCAATTCTCACGCCGCACGTTGGAGAACATCTAAATCTCAAAACTTAAATAAAGAAGTCTGAATTATTTCAGTTTTGTCTAAAATCAAGCAATATTGTGCTAAATTATGCATATCTTATGTTTATTTGTTTATAGTGAGGATAAAAAAAAATTAGACAATCACATATTTAGACGCTTTAGTTTTAAGGGAACCATTCAAGCAAATAAAGGATAAAATTTAAGTACAATACCATAAGAACTGTTGTGCTATTTTTCTAAAGCAAAGCAGTATTGATCACATATACTAACCTCGATTATTAGTGTGCTGATCATTAATATTGATCTATATTATACGGATTATCGAAAGTGAAATTCCAACTCTAATTTTAAAAAAACAAAAAAACAGTATCAATACTACTGCACTTGAGTTTTGTTCAATAATTTATAGGTTATTTAAAAGTGGACCCAATAATTGAAGGTGTTTGGAAGTGCAATTTTAGAGAAAGGGGAGGTATGCAAAATTTGTTTCTAAAAGATATTTCAAAATAAAAAGTAATAAATTAACAAATTAATACCTTAATTTTTAATAGATATTATATAACTCAATTTTAAAAATTGTCCTATTTTCCTTTCCCTAATCAAGCCCACTCGCAAACATATCCAAGGAATGGTTGTGTGCATTTCACAAGTTATTACGTCAAATTTTGCTTTGGTTGCTTCTGTTCAGGAATTTGACACAGAATTTGACACCTGATTTCCGAATTCTCTATTTCAGTTCAGAGAAAAAATACTGAAATTGAATGTTACAGTTAAGGAATGGAATCAAGTATTTTTGTAGAATTTGATGTGTAATTACATTATATTTCATGCTAAGGAGAAACTATTTAAATGCTAAAGAGAGCTGTACAGAATATTAACTTAAATAAAAACTGTTATATGCATTATAAAGATTCATGATAATACTGCATCATTCAAAGTTCAATTAATCATTCAAAGGCAGTGCCCACGCTGGAATGGGGAAGACAGAGCCAAAAATGGTGTAGTTAATATGTTAGGCTGCAAAGGCTGAAAAGAAAATCCGGCTGATTGTGGAACTCCAATTGGCTGATGCTGAACTGAACTGTAAAGAGGACAAGACAAGTTAAACGACGGTTCATGTATTGATGTACAGTTTAGAAAACAAATCCTCATTCCAGTATTTTTTTCGCATTTTTTCGCCCACTTTTCTATTTGCAAACCTAAACATACAAGGCAACCCTTGTATACTTGCAAACATGGAAACTTTTAATTCAAAACATCTTTCTCAATTCATAATAAAACCAAACCTAAACAATCTTTATTGGACATATATTAATCTCAGGTAAGAAAAGAACAATTCAAAATTTTGGTTATAATTAATTTAGATTAGAAATAGAAGAATGAATTAAATATGTAAATTTATTGAGTGGAATTTGATTTATATTGAATTTTGAAAATAAATAAATAAACAGCAACACTAATATTTGAAAAAGGTATTGTTAGCCCGAAATTTAGATAATTAACATTTTAATATTTATTTTAGTGACTTTTAATATATTTCAATATTTATAATATTAAGATGTTAACCTAACTTATTTTGAACTACTAAAAAGGAGAAATTGGATCAAACAAAATTTCGGAAAAAAAAAAGAATCTTTCAAATTCCGAATTTCAAGATCTACACTACTCCAAAAAAAACTTTTAAAATGACTTACACAAAAAAAAAAATTAAAATCACCAAACAACTTTAATTTAAAACTCTTAATTTAAACTTCAACGATAAAATAAATTTTAAGCTCCTTAAAAAGTTGGGCCAAACACAAACCAGATATCACAATACATGAATTTTAATCAGAATTGATAAGATAAACAAAGTGTCAACGAATGGGCGAAAGAGTAAATACTCATGACTTACTTTCAAGCGGAAAAATCCTTATTTCTTATATTACCTATCAATTAAGAAATAACTTCTTGAAATTTTAATTTTTTAACAATTATTAATATTAAAAATTTTTTTAGGCCAAATTTTTTATCAACTTTTTGGGGCCCAAAGCAAGTGCTTGACTTGCTTTACCATTGGACCGGGCATGGTGTGTGAAAGCTTTGCTCGTTGAAAAGACGCATCAAAAATATGAATGGGGAAAAACATCTACATGTCAAAAAGACTCTTCCACTCTCTTCCTTTCCTATTCATTCGCAAATATGTAATTTTAATTTGAATTCCTCTTGGATTCAACCAAAAGACAACTACTTCAAAAAATAAAAACAAAAACAAAAGATAACTGTCATAAAATTAAATAAATAAAATAGAGTAAAAAGCTTCTATTCATCGGTAGTGTTTTCTCGTGGGCTATAGATTTGCCCCATCTGGCAGTTTACGAAAAAGTTATCGCTTACACTAAGTGTCAGTAAATCAACAGAATATGTTCAATTTTTTTATAATTTTTATCCATTGGCTTATGAAATGTCTCTTGCATTATTTAATATTCACAGGGATTTAGATATCAAGCTGGGTACCTGTTGCTTACTTAGCCAAAACGACAGTAGTTGAATCTATTTCAACATCTATATTCCATGATATATAGGCTATCCAAAGTAATGAAGCTTTTAGTCGAAAGACGCTACCTTTTATTCATTTTAAAAAGTGCCCTTAGTTTTGCTTTACCTTCTGATAATGAAACCATCTACATGTATAGGATAAGGAAAAGCGAAAAACACATGCAACAACTTACCCGAATGACAATGACAAAGAAGTCTCTGCTGAGTTATGAACTCCATTTTGATCAGGATTTAATAACGTCCAAAATACTACATCACACAATAAACATAACTCAGTATTATCAAATAAAAAGAAAGAGTAAAAAGAGGAAACTAAAAGCAGAAGAATGTAGAACTGTCATGTCCCATCCAAGAAATAGACGTCAAATAGGACAGCTATGTGAATAGTATGGCAGTTCTTGAATTTGAGGGACCAAAAACTTAAGCCATTGTTATATATTATTTGGATCAAATCACTTCAACGGGAGTTTTAGTAATTTGACAGTTCATAATTTTCTTCCAAACAATGTCCAAGGAAAAGGTTCATTCAGAGCACTTCTTGGATAACACTGGTAAACAAAACTAATATTTGCAAAATGAGTTTTAGTTACAAGTTAATTATTTTACAAAGCAACCCTAAACTCACGTGTTCTTGGGTTTATCCAGAATAGAATATAATGATTAGAATTTTACTAATTTATAATTCACAGTAGAATCGAAGGCTCACTTCAAGGTGAACTTTGTTTGGTCAATGGTTTATTGAGTTAATTCCATAACTGCAGACATTTTCACTGCACTGTTGCTCAGTCATCCAGAATATTCCTAATCATTTCTAGAGTTCTAAACAAATTTTTCAGCATCTTATTGCTATTATTTTGCAGAATTTTGCCATATTTTCAATCAATTTTTTACAATATTGGCTCAATAGAAATTTAAGATGTTATAAACACAAAAATAAGCCATTACACATCTATATAGGATTGAATTAGGTAACATAATTATGGTCAGCTAATTTGGTTTCTGTTAAAGCTTTTATGACGGATGATAGAAAAGATACAGGGATTCAATCGTTTTCTTTTTCTATTTCCAGATAAGAGTGTGCAATGGTTTTCAGGTATTACCTGTGTTAAATACCTACTCTTTGCTTTTCAATTATGTAAATAGAAGGATTTCTTGTTGATATCGGAAAATTATTCTCTCATTTAACATAGATCGTTTTAAATTACACAGCAGAATGAAGCTTTCGAAAAACAATTGAATCAAGCCCAATTTAAACTTTCAAAAGTTAAAGGTTACTCTGTAAACATAACTAACCTTGAGAAAGATTACAAATCAAATAGAAGGTAAGATATTCACCTGACTGATCTGAATTATCATTAAAATCCGTGCAAAATAGTACGTTCTGCAATTTCATAAAATGCATTATGTCAAAATCAAGTTAAACAGACATCTTATTAGGATTTCAAAAAATAAAAATAGAATACGTCATGCTTCAAGATTTACAGCATAGTTCCAACCTCTCCAACACCCTGAGATACATTTTGGACCACATCTGCAGGAAATGATAATAATTAAATGGTCAGCAATGTGTAATGTTAATAAAGCAAAGCAGAAAATGAGAGAAGTTTTGAAAAGTGAAGAAAGGCCAAAGAGATGCAAAATTTACTAAGTGAAGAAGAAAAATCAAAGGTGACATTTCAAAACTATCAAAAATCATTCAGAAAAAGGAACATAGATTCAACATATCAAATTAAAAATCATTTTCAACAAATTTTAACTGACAACAATGTCAACTGATCTAAGTTACTTTTACTATAGTTAAAAAAATAGTTAAGGTTGAATTTACCCAAGTTTGAAACACTGGGCTTTACAGCTAATGTCAAGCCAAGAAAACAATCATCGGGATCAGGGCCAAAATCCTGTAGTTTCAGCTCAAGATTTGGCTTTGCCCCTGTAAGTAGTGAAGGAAGAAAACAATAAACAGTAGAGCCAAATACCTATCACGATGCAATTAGTATGAAACATGTAAATATCTAACAAACTGAAATATTCAATACAAGGATACAAAACAGAAAGAAAACAAAATTTCCCTACTCTTGCTACTCAGCTTCAGCTCAAGTGGATCACTGAGTGGACAAGGAACCCATGCATCCACCTGTCCAGTATATATTAGTAAATTGAAGACATTAAGTAAAGGAGAACAGGCTTCGAAGAGAAAGTTACTTGGAAAAATGGATGTTGCAATGACTGATCTGCATCTGGCCTTCTTGATGGGTCCCATGACAGCAGTTGCTACAGAATTTACAATGCAGTAGATATTAGAAAATAGTACTATTTACAATGATATATGTGTATAGAGTGAGAAAGAGATTCTATTGACTGAAGCATACAGTGATCAAGTCTATAGCTTCCAAACTAGCATTTGGAATAATATCAGATAGCTTCATAGGTGGAACCTGTACAAGCATCAGAGAAATTAAAGAAGTGATGATATAAAAAGATGACAACAATATGAATATTACATGACCAGGCTCTGTCACATGAACTCTTACAACTTCATGACCAACTAGGTCCAATAGCCGAGAGTTGTTTGCCCCTATAGTGAAAGCAGTTGAATCTGGCATGCCAAGAATGCTATATACTTTGTACAGTTGATCTATTTCACTGTCAATGGAGAAAAGAAATTTCATAAGATGTGACAGAAAGCATAAATTGTTCATTTTTAGACATAACATATCCCAAATAAAAAAATTCATTACTGTAATAAGTTACCAGTTTAGATATTATCAATATCAACTACAATTGATGGTGGAGGAAAGTTCCATACTTATGATGTGAAAAGGAAATAATCTCAAATGTTTTGTTTTGAACTATTAATAGCAATCTCTTGACTATCAATTTCTCATTGGTTAACACACACCTAAGAGAAGTGTACTTAAGAGAGGTATGAACATTTTGCTTTTTAGATGAAAATAAATTCATACAGAACAAAGAAATGAAGAAAAAACAGGTAAATCTGTACAAAAATGCCTTCCAAATCGATAGAACAAAGTTAATGTACATACGAAATATGAACTTGAAACTTATAATGAAACCATAAAAACAATTATGAGCATAAGTAAATTAGTTATCAAAAATTTGAATCATTACATATTTTATTCCTATGCTTCAACCAAACGTTTCAAATTACAGACAGTGAAAACAAGCCAATGCTCTATAAATTCTTTCCCTATCTTGATCTTGTAACTTTGAATATCCACATTATTCTATCAAGATTCACGAACATGATTGTCCTTTATTTTAAAATCACAAATTGAAACCATCAGAAGCAAAATCCATAATGCCATCCATTCATATTCAAATGCAAACAGCATAACAAGCAGTTATTTTGTTGAGGGAAAAATGTTTAATAAATATGTGGAAGCACAAAAAGCAACATTCAACAAATCAAAAGTAAATATGTAAATAACATAAGCACAATTAGTTGTCATCATCGAGTAAGCTGTTTTACAGTCAAAACTGAAAATAAAAAATAAAGGACTGTAAGATACCTTTCACCAGGAAATAATGGGGTCAAAGTAAAAAGCTCAGCTAATATAGCACCAACAGCCCACATGTCTGCAAATAATTTATATTTGTTATTCACCACCTCAATAAGAAAAGCAAGCATTAATAAATCTGAAATTTACAGCATAATAATGGCAAACAAGTTTGGCCACATAGAATGTGCATATTTGTTCTTCTTTTTCTTTCACAATAGTTCTTATTGAATCAGTTCTGCCTGAATCAGTATTCAGTATTCAGTATTGAAGTGAATATGTTTATATGATGTTCAGAGGATAAAAGCAACACAACTTCAGATCATAAAAGATTAAATGGAGAAGGATGGTATTGCTATAATAGTTGACTTCAATTATTTATTAGCACACAACATCAACAATCAAGCATTATCCCATTAAGTGAGGTCAATCACATGGATTACACAGTGCCAGTCAAAAATTAATTTTTCAAAAATATTATTTATCACTAGATTTCTTTTAATAATTTTTTCTAAAGTTCTTCTAGGTCTCCCTCTATCTTTTTTTACTAGACTAAAAATCATGCCATCCACTCTCCTTGCTGATGCATGCAGTTGCTTTCTTTACACATGAACAGATCATCTTAAACAATTTTCTATCAACTTTTTCACTTTAGGTGTTACAATGTTACTCCAATATTCTCGTGTATACAATTATTTTCTATCTTCTCCTTTCTCATGAGACCACCAATCCATCTTAACATTCTCATTTATATTAATTCCACTTTTCTCTTATGTTGTTCATTTAAGGCTCAAGATTCATTCCCAAATATTTATTAGCATATGTCCCAAAATATGCTATTGCTAGGACTATCTCTATATGCCACAAGCCACAAAAGATCAATTTAACTAAAGGAAAATACGTCAAGCTGACATCAACTCAAAACTTCTTCACACTGTAAAAAATAGCAGTAAAAGGGAATAACAAGGTATCTATCCACAGATAAGTCATCTTTGACATTACCCTAGTGAGTTTAGGATTAACTAATCATCCCCAGCTAATAGAGTGTCTGTGTTTGCTTTTGGGAGACCACAGTAGTTGTTGTGTAAGTAAAAGGCAAATTAAGGCAGAAACCACAATTTTAACTACTGCATCCAAAATCATCCATGATGTCTCCCAAAAACAAACACCAGCACACAGATTAATCTGTTTATCAAAGAAATAGAATGTAGATAAAATCAATAAATAGCATAAACAAAAAGATTATATTTAAAAGGAGACTAATGCCTACCAACAGCAGGAGTATAACACGGGGATTGCAACAAAACTTCAGGAGCTCGATACCTGAATTCCCAAAATAAAAAATGCAATAAATTTGATTATGATGACAAAAACCTTTCAGATAAAATGTACTAACAGAGACACAGACAGTATAAAATCTTGTATGTTATACCCAAAAAAGAAATTTATGTACACATGTAAAAGAAATTAAAAAAAGACTAACAAAGATGACATGAAAGAATATCACTCACCACCGCGTTGAAACATATTGAGTATATGGAGGCATTGATGATACTTCTCTAGCCAGTCCAAAATCAGCAATTTTAAGAACATCATTTGTTACCAGCAAATTTTCTGTACAGAAGGAAACATTCCCATTAATCAAGATCCATATGACTCTTTAGACAGATTGAACTGAAAAATATAAACACAATAATGCACTATAAGAAATTTTCTTATTGAAGTTATTTGCCTTACCAGGTTTTAAATCCCGATGAAAGAATCCTTTCTTGTGCATGTGACTTAGTCCATGTAGCACTTGACTCATAAAGCATCGTATCACTTCCTCGGAAAAGGGCTTTTCTCTTTCCTTTATTAATTGATAAAGATTACCATCCTGAAGAGATGAAATCTAGTGTCAAGCACTGGCTGATAAAGCAAGTATCAATACATAGCATTCAACTTATTGGATTGGCGGGTTTTGGATAAATTACATAGTAGTGAATAACTCTTCCAGTAAATATGCATGTAGCACTGGGAACCACATAACAGTACTACATTTTCTGGCTAACTTTAATATATAAGAAGGCATTGCCCTAGCCCGGTGCTTTTAGGCATTTGAAATGGGTTTTGTTAATGAAGCATGTAAGGATATCAGCATGTTGTTTAGGTAGTTTATCTACCATTTTTGTTTTGTCTTGAATTCTTAGACAACATTTCCTCCTAATTGTTTTTCCTCCTGTTATTTATCAGCAATGTTTTTCCTTCAACTTTTACACAATAAAGTGTTAGACCTCTAATAAGGAAGGCATATGTAAGGAAAAAGAAAGGTGGGCAAGCCCCGGATCAGCAACATAAAAACTGATAAATAACCAACAGTCACAAGTGGGGGATAAATAGGAGAAGGAGAGGGAAGTGGGGCATCTTGGTTAATCACTTGGATTGGACTAGGAGAGATCAGCCTCTCGAATACCTGATAGGAACTGTTACAGGATTTGTTACAAAGCATTCTGCACTAGTGTAGGGGCAATTCCCCAACTAGAGTCATTTCTCAATAATACATGATTCCTTCTTGAACTTTGTCTCTTTTCTTTTCTTTTTCTTTTTCTTTTCTGTTCTAATCTCTTTGGTCCAGTTTTATCATAAAGCAACAAGATATTACTCTTCAATTAATCTTTATGTTGCAATGTGTAAATATCACTCAACAATCAACATCTTTACACAGATGAAACATGAATAGATAAAGAAGAGTTTCTTTACCATGTATTCAAAAATGAAAAACAGTTCATTATTTTCTTTAACAACCTCTTTCAACTTTATGATATTTGGGTGATTCATTTTACGGAGGGCCTGCAGAAGGAATAAAAATCACACAAGTGAGGATAAATTAACATTTAAACAAAATCTTATTACAGTTCCAGGAATGACTGAAAACCAACTATAAGGCTATAACTACCCAAAAAAAAAAAAATTACTGTAGTGCATACCTTAACTTCCCTTAAATTTGTGTATTCTTCCCAGAAACAAAACTTTCTTTTCAACCTTTTGACAGCAACCTGATAGACAAAATGAAGAGCATAATATGGGAAGATATTCCAAAATATAACATCAAAAGTGCAAGTTTGAACCTATATGTTTTAAGTGTCATCTAAATTAGTATGACTTATAGCACCACCTCATAAGGGAGCATCAGAGACAGTGAGACATGCTTTTATAATTTATGAGAAAACATTATATCCATTCGACCTTCAATGCACAATGTAATACATGAATGAATAACATTGTTATCACATTTTTGCACAGAATACCTTTGATGCATCTCATTTTAAACATAATTAATATTTACAGTGAACTTAGATCAACTCTTATCACCCAGGCTACTATTACATACAATTGGACAGTATGTAATTGTTGGGTGCTAATTATCTTTACACAGTGCTTATATATGAAAGAAAACATGTGCAGTTGTAAACTAGTAGGATAGCACTTGAAGACAAATATTTCTATAGTGAAACTCAGCAAAAACCCATGATACATACAGAAAGAGGGTTAGAAATTATCTTTACACAGTGCTTATATATGAAAGAAAACATGTGCAGTTGTAAACTAGTAGGATAGCACTTGAAGACAAATATTTCTATAGTGAAACTCAGCAAAAACCCATGATACATACAGAAAGAGGGTTAGAAATTATTCAATGTAAAACAGCCAAACGTCCATGCACATTCATGGCTCATTTCCAAAGGATCTTCCCTTATTCCTCTAACCACATCCTCTAAACTTAATCAGCAATCAATTCTCCACATATATTCTGGGCTTAGGCCCAGATAATTCAATATGTTAACAGTTTCCATGAAGGTTCCATCCATACTGTAACCAAGTGTGCAAACAGGAAATAGAGAGGAGGCAACAAATAAACAGAATTTAACATTGGTCAACCAACAAAAAAATCTTCAGAGAGAAGATTTACTATAAACATTGAAAATTACAAGGAGTAGTGACTCAATACTTCAATCTTCAATCCACTGTAAAATCAGTATTTAGTATGAGGATTCTCTGTGTGTGTGTGTGTTAACAACTATCCTAAAAGTTTAATATATTATGCGGATGTCAAACACAAACCAGTATGAAAGAGCCATTTTTTCCTTGTGCTTAAACTATTAGACAGAACTCATACAAGAATGAAAACTAAAATGTCTTCATTTAAAACATGGAATTTCAGCTTCCAAGCTTTTCTTTTAATTTTATTAGCAAAAGAAAGAGATAGAATTACAAAAGAAATCTTCAATAAAGAAACAAAGAAGGGAAACTCCTGAAAGCCATTTTCTATGGGATGAATACAACAACAATAGAGGATAATTTATAAAAGAACATGAGTTGATGAAATATGCTGAAGTTCAAAAAATTGCTTTTAGGTAGCAAGAGTTGCTTACAATTTCATAAGTTCTCATATCACGGGCTTTATATACATGACCGCAAGAACCATCTCCAAGCTCTCTCAAAAGTTTATATCTAAAAAGAAAAGGACAGAAATAATTTAATCCACTGAGAGAATTTAGAGCCCAGAAACACACAAGACAATGGATGAAAAGAAACTAACCTTTCCATTATTAGAACTACAACACTACAACCAATGACACTTTGGAGAGACTAGGACAGATTCCATGAAGTCATGGCTAACTGTCAACGCAGTGTTGGCACTTAGTTTGCAGACGTGGGTTAGGGTTAAAATGTAGCATGAAGCATTTAGTGTCATCAATAATCCACTTTTCATTGTAGAAATGATCCACAAAAAGGAAGCAGTCCGTCAACATGTTGCAACCTTCACAACCCCAGTTGACTGGGTGATGTCTTTATCATAGTAAATCCATTTTGATTTTGATTACATTGACTTCAAATCAAGCCCATACATCAGAGAACAGGCATAAAAGCTGTAGTACAAACCAAAATATAAATGTTAGTGCTTTTGAAAACTACAGTAATTAGCCCCCTTCAACATCAAGTGAACAATATGTGCACTTAAAAAGTGCAATAATAGGAAAATGCAATATTATATTATTTCACTATGCAAACTCAGCAAAGAAAATATCACTTAATAGTCAGACAAGCCCATACATGTTGACGCGAAGACCCAAAAGGTTTTGTGGTATTAGCTCATCCAACCTACTCAGAAATCAAATATAACGCTGAATCGCTGATCCAGAAAACAAACCTTCCTATGAAGAGACTAATTCTAACAACACGATGATAATCATGTGTTGTTGCATAAGAATTTAAGCGTATCACATACCCTCTACTCTTATACAATCTTATGACCGTGAATTCAACTCTCAGACCACTCTATTTAATCTTCCCACAAAAATCAAAATCTATTGGTCGACCATCAAGTTACAAAATTAACAAGTGAATCAGTTCAAATAATCGATTTCAGACAACAAAGAAATGGGGAAAAAAAAACGTAAACTTAATCTGTTTGGTTTAGCTTAAAGTACGGGAAAAAAAAAATTCAAAAGTTTCTTCGGGAAGCCAAGAAAAAAAAAATTCCACGGATAAGCCAGTTCAAACCAGCACTGTTAACGAGAACACGAATATATATATATATATATATGACGAAGAACCAAGAAGTAAAAATCTTCACAATCTATCCAGAAAAAACTTTCTTTTAAATTATAACAATCATACACGAAGAAAACGTCAGGCGCAATTCAACCTGTTCAGAAACAATTCAAAAAACACAATCTCTGATATTTTTTTCATTTGTCATAAATCCATAAACTATTGCTTCGACTCAAACGTGTGACAAAAACTCATCTTGATTTTCCAAGACTCATTCTCTCTTAAACAAACCGATCACAAAGGAAAACAATACATAATTCAAGCTGCATTTCACTTTGTTTACCAGCTACAACAAGAGACAACGAAAGCAGCACGAAGAATTGGAAATTGACGAAACTGCACGAAGAAAATTTCGAAAACAAAAATGAAAAGGGGAAGACCTCACCGTGTAAGATAATTGGATAGAAACAGAGCGGAATCGGCAGATACACAAGCACAAATCAGCAATGTGAATGAACTTTCTCGGAAAAGAAACGAGAAAAATGGATTTGGAAGGAGAAAGAGAGAGATGAGGAGAGGAAAGGTTAGAGCGAGAAAATTCGGAATTGCGAAGAGGCCATATGAGAGAGAGAGAGGGAGGATTCCATGGAAGAAAAACGAAGGAGAAGAAACCAAAGTAATAAATATATTAAATTTTTTATTGAAAAATAAAAAACAATATATTAAAGATTAAATAAAATTTAAAAATTTATTATTTTATTCTTTGATAAAATTTAAAATAGAGATTGCTTGGCTGGTAGTGGGGTGGGTTGTGGTCCCCACATTGATATAAAAATGTTGTTGTAAGATTACGGTTTTGCCATCCAACTACTTTAATATTAACAGAAATATGTGTGTTGCCGATTTTATCCCTAGTTATAACTACTTAAAAGACGCTTGGGCCCCAGATTGATCTGGTCGAAAGACAATTGTACCCCTCGTTTTAGCTAGATAAGGGATAAGGGATTGAAAAGTCAGTAAGAATACATTTCGGGTTTTAAAGTCATTTCGTACGCTTATTATTCCCGAGAATATGCTGTTTCAGATCCCTGTGCTAGATTTGCCGGAAACGCCAGGAAGGTTATCCTACCCCTCATTAAAAGATGTATAAAATTTATGAGTTAGTTGCAGTGTCTGGGAATTTTGAAAAGATATTTTATTTTTTTTAACAGGTATGATTATTTTAATATTTTAAAATTAAAAATTATATTTTTTAAGATATATTATTAATTTTTATTATTTATTTAATATAATATCAGTAGTGATAATTATTTTATATAAAAATATAAAATAATTATATTTAGATTTCAGGTTTACGAAAAGAAGAAAAAAGAGATTAATAAAGTTTAAAGCTTTGTTTAGAAGTCAATTAATTATAAAAAAAAATACAGGATTTTTTTAATCTAAAATAATTGTTTTTAAAAAGAAAAATTCTTTTAAAAATTGCAAACAAACGTGTTTGGTCTTCAATTGTGTGATTTTGTTGTTCGAGCTTGAGTTTCAAGCTTTGTCTAGTGGTTGGGTTGTAATTTTCCATGATAAAAGTTAATTGAAACAAAAATTAGTAATAGGTGTTTGAGTTTAAGAGAGAATAGAAAAATGAAACCTTGATGCATTTGTCTTATATAGTAGCATTGTTCATTTGATTTGGAAGAAGATGAATGGAAAGAGGAAGAGAAAATTTAAGATGTTGAAAGGGATAAAAAGAAGATGAATGGAAGGAAAAAGAAGAGATTTGAAAAGGATGATGAAAATTTGACATGATAGAAAATTACAAAAATCATTAAAGAAGTTAATGTTTTTAATAGGAAAAAATATTTTAATAAAATAAAAAAATATTTTAATAAAAAAAGACTTATTTAAAATATTTTTACAAATTAAAGAATAAAAATAGACAAAATTAAAATTTACCTTAACATTGGATAATGAAAATATTAATTTTGTCTATATATCAATTAAATTAAAATATTAAAAAATATGAAATTAAAAATAAGATATAATTTATAATCTGTATTTTAAATTATAAATATAATATTATGTTATATAAAAGTATTTATTGATTAAGTCAATATACTACTATCCATGATAAAATTTAAAAGAACGTAGAATACTTTATCAAATTTAAAAGTGTTTGCAAATTGATTCAATTCAATTTTTATTATAAAAGTCATTGAAAACTGTTAATTTGAATATAATATAAAAATCAAATCATAACAAGTCAGATATTTTGTAGGTTACTTTGAATGAATTTTTTTATTTTTTATTAATTTATTTTTAAATTATTTATTATTATATGACTTTAATTTAACTTATTATTTTAAACTAAGTAGTAGTCCAAAAAAGTGAAATGAGTTTGTTAACAAAAAGAAATAGAAAAAGAAGTGTTGATTAGAAGAAAAATATGATAAATGATAAATTTAGTCATAAAAAAATAGTACTTAAATATAAAACCTTAAATTAATAGAAGTGATCCATTATATATATATATATATATATAAAGTGTTTATATAAATTTATGATAAGATTGAGTTTTTATATAAAAATAAAAAAATAGTATAAATATATTATAACTGTGGTTCGGTTGAGTTTCAATAATGGAAATCGAAAAGCAAAGCAAACCACAGTATCTATTTATTTTTACTTTTATTTATTTTTTTCAATTTCTTTGGATCAATTTAATAATTTGAAAATAGTTTGATTTAATTTTAAATATTCCCAACTAAGTTAAGATAACATAAAGTGTAATTTGTTTTTTGTTTAAGTTTATTTTGATTTTTTTTTTTTTTTGAGATTTTGATTTTCATCTTTTAAAATTTTTTATTATTATTATTAATATTTAATTTTTATAAATGCACTTGAGATTACAATATTTCAAATTTTTATGCCACATATCAATATTTTTCATCATGTTTGTGACAAAAAAAAAGTACTAAATTTTAAAAAATAAATGTTTATAATTAAAATCTGATAGAAATATATAAACTGTAAGCATATATAACTCTCTTTTTTTCTTTTTTTCTTTTTTTAAAAGAATAAGGGCTATGCCCTAAATAATGGAGTAAGTGGATATAGGTTTAATAATTTGACAAAACCAACCTATACTAAATATTAAAAATCATATATCTTCACACTATTAGTTTAGTTTAAAAAGTAACAGATTCATTTATAACTAGTAATATAATGCCTAGTTTGAAACTAAGTTCATAAAACATGAGTTTCTTTATATAAACTAAAGTTTTGAATTTTTTTTAAATTATTTTTTAAAAGCCTTAACAATAACATGTTCTATATAAAATAATCATATACATAAAAATATTAGAGCAACATTTACGATAAAAAATATAATTAAAAATTGTTTAAAGTGGTTTGATCATATATAAAGAAGACATTTTGAAAATACTAATAAAAAAAATAAATGTCATTACTTTTAGTCTTTTTATAGATAATAAAGAGTAAATGAAGGTAAAAAAAAATTAAAAAAAGTTATTAAGATAATTTTTTTTATTAGTAATATTTTTAAAATTTTAATTTTCAATCAAGTTTAATGATATCATATGATTCATGTAATCTACCTTATCTAATAAGATAAAACTTTATTATTATTATTATTTTATTTATTTTTTATTTTTCTCATTTTTTTATTTTAATTTTGTCTTTGTTTAGCCAATTATGGTGGGTTCTTTTGCCAAAAATTTTCCTAACTATTACTAAAATATTAAAAGAGATATAGTATTAAATCTAAATAAAAAATAAACTAAAACTTTAAATAAACATGAGATAAAAAAAATTTAAGTTTTTGTTTTGATGCCTGCGCGTTTAAAGGGGTGGGGTATAAAATGCTAGTAGTGTAATATCAATGGTGTAATTAATTTATAATTTATTTTTATTATAATTTACTTTTTATTGTAAAGAAGTCTTTTAATATTTTTCTTTTTACAGAAAAGTCCTTTAGTATCATTTAATAATAAATATATATATATATATATTTAAAGATTAAGGAGTAAATATATTTTTTTAATTTTTTAAAATATAATATTAAATTTATACATTTAAGGAAAATAGTATATGCCTCTTCAATAATATGTGTACCGTATATTCAATCAAAAAATTATTTATGATACTTGTAAGTGCTGAAGCGTGAAATTTGGTTCAACCCAATTTTATACAACGATATTTATTTTATTATTTTTAATATAAAATAACAGTAAAAAACAAAATAAATATCTTTTATAAATTTAATGATTAATAATAATTTTTAAAATATCAAAACCTAAAATATATATGACCATATAATTTGAAATGCTAACTTCACGGTTTACTTGCAACGAAAGAAATGTTAACTTGCAAATAAAGTGTTTTAAACTTAGCATAGAAGACTTACCCTTCTTTATTCCATATAAAAGGCACAGGGTTTTTAAATCTATAATCTATTATATACGTGATCTTATTTTGATCCACTAGATCTATTCTTTAGAATTAATTTTCATATTTTTCGAATTTATTTTCTTATTTAATTAGATTTAATGTCTTATCATGTATTATTGATGAGCTTCATAGTTCATATTTGCTAATTACTAATGAGAAATGCTATTTGTTCAAATTTTGTTACAGCATAGAAAAGTAAGAAGAGAAAAAATTGATAAAATAAGAGATGTAACATAGAGAAATAAAAAATTATAAAAAAATTATAGAATATATTTATATTATTGAATCAATTAATCGTCTATTTAAAAAAATTATTTCATGATTTTTTTTTCATATTTCCTAAGTCATTTTCTAATTTAATTATAGTAAAGTCTATATTAGTGGGCCTGGCTTATGTTAATAATTATATATTGTATAACAGTACTAAATCTAATGTTTGAACAACTTTGCCTCTATAATGAATAGATTTAATTGCTACTCTGATTTAACATAACTTAATGTCTACATCTATTTTACTGTTGACGTAAAACAGAGTTAATTAAACGTGATGTGTAATGCAAGTTAAAAAGACAAAATAATCTAACTTTTTAAACTTTCACTCAAATACATAATTCCTTAGCGATGTTATTATAATTTTTGTCACTACCCTGAATTGAAATTGATAATTTTAGTAAAATTAAAGTTGGATAATTTTAGCTGCTTAGTTGTATTATAAAGTACTTAGGCTTAGTTTGTTTTCTATTATTGAATAGAGTTTTTTATTTTAAAAAAATAAAAAACAGAAAAACTTGTTTATTAATATAAATTTTTAAAATTATTTTTTTATTTTAAAACTGAAAAGCAGAATCACTATTTAGATGTTTTTATTTTTATTTTTCTGTTTTTCTTTTTAAAACCAACAAAAGTTTAACTAAATACAGTTTTAGAAACTAAATTATCTAACAAATTTTATTTTATTTTATTCCTAAAAATAGTTTTATAAAAGTTTTTTAAAATATAATTTTCAAAAATTAAAAATCAAAACTAAATCAAACAAACCCTTAATTTTTTGTTTTCTAAACTATTAATAATTTTTAGGGGATGTAATTTTGTACTCATACCATGAATAAACACAAGTTTGAAACAGGAAACTTTACTTAAAGATAATAAAGTATGTTACTCAAATCAACTTATTTTAGTAAATAAAAAAGTAAAAAAAAAAAGTTGTTTATGAATTGAAATAAAAAAATAAAATAAAAAACTCCACTTATTTTAGTAAACAAAAAAGAATGATAATTTATATTCAAAATAAATATTATAAAAACCTAAATTAATCTAAAAAGTTAATTTTTAATAATAATATTATTTAATAAAAATATTTTTATTTTATATTTTTCAGGAAGGGGAGGAGTTCTCCCCCATTCAAACAAAGTCTAATAACATGTAACTAAAAAGAAGTCTATATTTTTTATAAAGAAAAAAAAAAGACAAACTACTAAATGATATAAAATTAGAAGTTTAAAAATTACACTTAACATGATTATTTAAAGAACAAAATAGATCATCAGATTAAAAATATCAAATAAGGTAATTTCTCAACTACTAAATTAATGTCGTGAATAATATAACATAAAAATACATGAAAGAAATTTTATAAAAAATGATGAATATTCTATAAAAATAAAATATACTTTAACAGAAACTAATCTTAATTTTTTTATGATAAAGTTTACTCCACTTTTAAGTAAATTTTAAAATTATCTTAAGATAACTTCTCAATTTAACTAAGTAAAGACCTCCAAAAGATTGATTTCAATTAAACACATAAATTAGACTCATTATCTAAAAAAAAAAAAAATCTTGTTAACCATTTATTTATTTAAATGAGTAAAAAAGAAAATAAGAAATTTAGTACAATGTATTAAAAATTTATTTATAATAATTACAATTTTTAATTTAATAAATTTTTTTTTTTACTATAATATATTTTTCTTATTTCAAATTTTAATTTTTTTAAATTACAAATTTTTAAAAAAGTAACTCACCTCCCCACACGACCTTTTTCTTTATTCGGAAGTTTTTATTTATTTATTTACTGTGTACTTCGTATGAGAAATATTTTCTCTCTCCATTTTTCAATGCAATCCAAATAACAAAAAAACTAAGACTATGTATAATTTTTATTTTTTGTAAGTAAGATAATAAAAATAAAATAAAATAATATGACAATTACATTTTTTTTTCTCTCATTTTCTTTCTCTTTAATTATTTCAATATAAACAAATCATAAATAAGAAATCAAAGAGAAAGTTGCATAAATTTGTTTTTTTAAAGTCTACAGTAAATTTAAGAAATAAGATACTTAATTTGGTATAGAGTTTAATTCTGGATAATGTTAAAAACACTGGTTCATATTTTTTAAATATATATATTAAAAGGCATATTTTTATTGATTAAATTTTAAACTAATATTTTTAAAACATTTGTTAATCTAACTATAAAAAAAAATAGAACTAAAATAAATAGAAACCAGATTAAGGGCATTTGATATATTTTAAAAAATTAACCCCCAACATCTAATTTACCATTAATCAGAACAAATTTACCATTAAAAAAAAATAACTAGAGTTATTAAAAGGTATGATAAGTTACAATTTGACCTTTTTTTTAAGATAGCCCAAATTTTAGCGTAAACAGGGCGTAATGTTTTGTATTTTATATACATTAACATTATACTTTATTTTTACTTTTTAATTTCTTAATAAAACTTGAAATAAATATTCTCCTTAAAAAGAATTCCCAAACACATTATAATCAAAATTCTTAAAAAAGGGTATTATTTACAGTTTACTTTATCTATTTTTACCCTCTTTTCTAATGAACTTTACAATTTTAACACTCTTTAAAAGCGTCATAACTTGAGCATCCAAATCATCTTCCATTATTAGCCATCCAAAACGCAATCATCTGCTAGTTTTGGTGGTCTTAATTCAACTCGATCGTTAATCCAAGGAGAGAGAACCAAAGAAAAAAAATATCAAAAATTCAACAAATCCTTCGTGTCTTAATATAATTGGTTTAAATAATAAAATAAAAAATAAAATAAAAATTGGTAGAAATCAAAGGGGCAATGTTATATAATTGATTCATCACTTTTCATGTTTTGTTTTTTATACCAAATAGCAATTCTCATAAATCAAATATGTAAACCAATAAGAGATTCAAGACAACTAGTTGACTTTCCTTTACAAAAAAAAAAAAAAAAAAAAGCAAAGCACTAACGTATTTTTTATTGTTGTTGAGTTTCCTAAGTGTATTTTTTTAATTAAAAAGTTTTCTTGCTTTAGGCACTATTATAAATGTAAGCACTGTTATAGAGTAAACCTCAAGTGAGTTTTTGAGATTGTATAAATCATTTACTTTAATCTCTAGAATTTTAAAAACAATTTTTAGTCCCTAACTTTGTGAAAAGATATTCATTGTACTCTATTTACACTTTATTTTATCTGTTGTTTTGTAATACGGAATATGGTTTTATTAAGCCAAAAACTGATAAAAGAATTTTTAAAATCTAAAGGATTAAAATACATTACCCATGCAATCTCAAGGTTTATTCAAAGATTACACTCTCCCGCTAAAATCAGTTCCCATTAGTAAAATTAGGGTATCTCTGATACCATGCTTGAGAGTTCCTCCAATAGCTCTGGCAAATCATTCAAACCCTCCTCAAATAAAGCCCTCAATTTTTCTGCAAGACCCCTTGCCAAAGGTTCAGTAACAGCCACTGATCAGAGAATAACAAATTTATTATCTCCAGTACCAGAGGAACTATAAGCTCCAAATACACCTTAATGGCCTCAGAAGTTTGTGGAATCACTGTAGTAATTTGCTTCACATAAGCTATGAAGCAACTCCACTTCACATGTAGTGCTCAGGAATATTTATGCTTATTCTCTCTAATGCTGTGCAGTTTACACCTTAATGAGTTTTGAGTCATGAAAAATAATAAATTAAGCCTTCCAGTTTATCTTAATCAAATTATTCATAGAAAAGTTTATAAACAGGTGTAAACAAAGTGACATCTTTGTAGTAATTAAAAACCATATCAGCATCATCTCTTGTTTTCTGGCATGTACAATTCTAAATTTGTTAAACTCTCGAGCTTCACCAACTCATCAGTGGAGGCAGATGTTATTATAGGTATGCATATATAAACCATCTAGACGTGAAGATGCTTAAATTTTGCAATAATAGCATCACAAGCAAACTTGAGGGCATGGCATTCAAGTAGTTTATGCAATTTCATCCTACCTTGAAGCATGTTGAATCTTTATAGTTTAGACTAATTTCAAATCTATGCAAATGGGGAATTACACATTCTTTCCCTAGTGACATCACAATCTTCCTGTAAAAAGCTGGAAAGTATCTCAAAAAGACATATAGATCCATATAGAGTGAATAACTTTGTACTGTTTAAAATCTCTATCAACTTTTAAGTCCGCGCACTAGAACTTTACATTATATATAGAGTAAATGTGAACTATACAATATAAACATAACCCAACACTCAAGCTAAAACCAAACTCACTATATATACAAGGAGAATTCGCTTGCCAAATTCGGAATTTATTTGGCAACCTCTGCCTTTATGCTACTTAATTATCCTTGAGCTTATATACATTGTCAATGTAATCTTCTGTCTCCCACAGGAAAGATCCAAAAGCAACAGCTTCCAAGACTAGCCTCTTCAGGCTAGAAAATGAAGTTAAAATAACATCATCATTCTCGACTGAACCAGATTCCTCATTGCTAAAAAGGGCACAACTATAACTCCCCACCAAATTCACAGCCTCCTTAGATCTCAATCTGGCACATCTCTGCAATGATCCAGGGTGAAAGCTCATAACATAACATTTTAAGTCCTCAATTTCCTCTTCCTGCCTAATTAACCCTTGTCCTATAGTTTGCATGTTACTCAAGTGGCCAAAGATGGCATCTTTGAATCCATAAGAACACATAAGGGAAGTCCTATGACCAAGGTGAAGATCATGGTTAGCCAAAGATAGATTTCGTTCCAGGTGGTATCTTAACGAAACAGACTTCAAAAAGTAACCATATAATATGGAGGCAACATAAACTCGGGCAAGTAAGAATTGCCTAACTTGGGTTGTTGCCCAACTCTCACTTACACTAGATTTTGCTCTCAGGCCAGTTACAGTAGTTATGTGTTCCCTTATCATATCCAAAACTTCCAAGCTGTGTATAGACTCTAGTTCCCAGTCCTTAGAGGGTAATATTTCTAGCCTGCCATTATAAAGACAACTAGAAAGCTTTGGAACCAAAGGGACCCTGATCTCAGAAAACTTGTAAAAAATCATCAAATACATAACATCTTCTACAGCAATTTGACATTGATTCTCTTTTACTTGTGCAATCCTCCTGGCAGTCAGAAAAGGTTCAAGTTAACATCTTTTCAATGAATATCTACAATCGTATCATGCAACTACTGAGGAATTTAAGATGAAGGTTTAACTGATCTTTTATTTTATTCCAGGGTATGGCTTTGGTGCCAGGTAATACCCCAATTCATTTAATCATGCAGAAACTGCTTAAGATCTGAAAAGTTATTTTACTTCAATTAAAACAGTGTAAAAGAAATAACAGTACAGTTCATGTCAAAGTGGGCAAATCAAATACCTATAATCAAAAGGTAGCAAAAATTAAATCATCTCAAACCTAATAAAAGCTTGTATATTTTGTGTGAATTTCGCCAAAAATATACCATAGTTATGCTATCCTCTCAGTAAGAAGTAGGAACTTCTACAGTCAGTAGATCAGGAGAGAAAAGATGAAATGCTAATTACTCATGCATAAAGTTTGAAGCTATGATGCAGAGAAGGAGATCTAAAATCACCCACTTAAAATCAAGTAACCATTTTCTCAACTTCCAAAGCTTCACACAAAACAAGAATAACGTCACTAAAATTTTGGAATAAATAATTTTCAACCAAATGTTACAGACTGCAGAAAAGTAAATCAAGACCACAGAAAGTTTGGTTTAGCTTTAGATCAGGAATGCTGACCAAGATATCAATACCATGCAACTTGAGGTATGATACAATCCCTAATGTCACCTCCAAAACATTACTAACTTGTATCTTATAGAACTTACGTCCATGCAACTATTGAACTTACATTCCATAGGCTTTAGTCCTTCTCTTGATTCATCAACTATGATTGTATCATTTTAAAAAAAATGCATTGAGGCACAAGCTCTTGGATTTTCCATTTAAGAATGTTCAATACCAAGGCAATAACGTATGGACCTAAAGTCAGGGGTTGGTGCAAACCTATTCTCACAGATCAATAATTAGATAGAATGTTTCTTGAAGGAGAAGGACTAATTCATTATCCTTACAAGTTACAAGAATTGAATCAGATTCTTGTTGAATTATTTGCTGTACCTTCCTCATCATAAATAAGCCATATATATAGTATCTCTGATGCAATAAAACTGGAGAATATTATTATACATATCTCTGAATTGGAAAGGAGTTAAGACACCTATAAATCATTTTAACAGTGTCGGAAGATAATAAGAACCTTGAGAGAACCAACCACAAAAGCTAGCCATTGTACTTGAGTCCAAGGCCTTGTAAACCCCACATTAGAATCTCATATTTCCAATGTGGAACTCAAGTCCCATACCTTGGGATTGGATCCTAACATTCTACCATGCTCTGCAACCCTGACGTCCACACAGGCAGGTCGTGCACTAACCTCTTGATTAGTCCTAGGCAAACACTACCATTTCAGCATCACCACCCACACCGCTCGTTTTGCAATTGAGAAACATGGTAGAAGGCTTTGATGCCAATAGATAAGAACCTTGGGTGAATTATACTACAAAAGTTAGCTGTTGTAATTGGAGAGGCTAAAGCCTTAAAAAACCCCACGTTAAAATTTCATACTTTTAATGTGAGACTCAAGTCCCATATCTTGCAATTGGATCTTAACAGAAGATTTCAAGAGTATTTTTCCTAGAATCTCCAATGTTACCTTGCAAAAGAAAGGAAAATAAATGAGATAGGCCACTCTATAAACCCCATCTAGAGACCATACCATGCCAAACTTGGGTTGCTTGAAATGACATATCCAGTTTCCTGTCATCTGCCTCAACCCTGGACCCATATGCTGTTCACCACTTTATGATAAATAATTCTTATGGAAAGAGTAGGATCATCAAAAGCAGTGAATTCGGTCTGAATTTTCAGAGAAACATAGAGTCCGGATCCAGATTAGACCCATCCCATCGATCAAATCTTGAAAGGATTAATATAAATGACTTGTGCCAAGTTCACTGGCCTAGCATTCCTTGGCGAGTGTTCTGTAATGTGATAGCTTAGAACAGTATGAATAGGAAATGTATTTTGAAGCCTCTTACTTTTCCATAGAACATTTTATACGGGTTCTTGATGACTACTAACTGTGTCCTTTTATCTTGGGCAGGGGACAAATGTTCTGCTATGAAGGTCAAAACATGTAAGCCAAAATTGTAACAAACTGCAGTTAATGCAATGGTGTATATGATTGGAGATTCAAAGTGAAATGCTTGCATCTCAAGAGCATCACTTCACTTGGCCCATGAAATTTAACAAGGTAAAAGAGACCATTTGATTAACCAGATTTCTAAAGATTTCATTTTTGACTGAGCTCAATGGCATTGTGTGATCCATGTAGCCAACCTCACCTAGTGTGATAAGGCTTGGTTGTTGTTGTTGTACTCATATTTAGAGTTTTCTTTGGTGTACTGCTCATGAATATTTCTAGAGAATTGCAATCTCAAATAAGTTGTATTCTTGATTCTTTGTTTTCTCACTGTTTTATCCTATTCCTCTGTTGTGGAAGTTATCTTACCTTCCCTTCAGTTATAATCCCTCTCTTAAACTCCATTAAAGTTTCTTTCCCTATCAAAAGCAAAACAAAGATAACCACATCCACAAAACAACCAAATCAAGCTCATTAAGGACCACAACATGGGTTGTTCTCCTTTCTCATATTAACTATATTCGTGCTCATTAGAAAATTGAGCTCAACTTTCTTCTTCCTCTAAATAAAATATCAGCAATTTTACAAACAAACAAAAAAAAAAGCTTAATTCTACCCCAAACAAATAAAAAAACATATAACATGTTCAACACACTTCTACATCTACTAACAAAACCCAGCTGAAAAAGATACAAAGTTTATAACCTCACATCTTGGATCACTAAATTTCCTCATTGAAGTTACATATTTCATTAAGATACAGAGTAAATCGCAAGTAAAACACATTACAACATGCATACATATCCAGTTAGATTCATTTCAAGTTACAAAGTTCCCATAAAACATAACAATAACAAAAGCCTTACCACGAGGTTGATTACATGGATCACACCACACCCTTTTACTCGGTCAAAAACCAAATTCTGATAAATATTATTCACGATGAGATCCTTTTAATAATTTCCAAAAAGAAAAACTACTAAAGAAAACAAGAGGGTCATGAAAATTTAGGCACGAACCTGTGAAGTAATGCCTCATCGGAGGCAGAACCAAGCAACATGCGAGCATGTGCTGCATCACGATCCTCAGCCAAGAGCTTGAGCTCTTCCCCAACAGCAACATGGAACAACTGAGGGTGGTTCTGTAACACACCACTGAGGAACTTACCCACCAAAGAGCGTGTCTCCAAAGGCGAGTTCAAACTGCTAAACTCACAGTGGCTAGCTCCAGCACTCGCCCTCACACTCACCCTCTGGATGGGTCTTTTGAACAATCTCAAGTGGGGTTTATGCGATGATGACGATATTGAAGGGAGCGTGATGAGTGTGTGGGGAAACTGAAGGTGGCGGAAGAGACAGTTTTCCATCAACAACAACAAAGGTCTTTTGGTGTGAGATGTCTTGTGTTGTGTTAAACAACTAACTAAAAAAGTGGGTTTGTTTTGGTTCTGTATAGAATCGTTGTTCTTCAGAAGTGAAGTGGTGAAACTAAAAATCTGAAATATCTTATGATTTGGTTTTGTGGAATAACGGATAGGGTTGTGAGACTTTTGAGGTAAAGGAAGGGTCAGAGTTTTAGTTTCTGTGTGCGGTGATAAGTGATAAGTGCGTTTTCTAGTGGGTGGGACAGTTGTTATCTGTGGTCCCATACACACCACTGATAATTGCTTCTAAAATACTACTACTTATCGCTTCCATCAAAGCATTTGAGTTTATAAAACATTTAATTTTTAATGTTTTCCTTTTCCAATAAATGTTGTCTGAGTCTTGTTTTTTTTTTCTTTTTAAATAACTTCCCATTCAGTTTGGTGTAGGAAAACATTAAGGTGAAGATTTTTTTATGTCATACGTTATATGAATTTATGAATGTATGTAAAATATAAAAAATATAATGTAAGATTTTACCGTTAATAAACGGATCTTGCAAAACTTGGCTAAGGAATAAAAAAAATAATAATAAAATATTAAAATATTTTAAAACTTGCAGAGAAATTACATTAGTAATATTTTTATGATAAAAGATATTCTATTTTTAAAATTTTAAAATTAGTTTAATGAATAAAATAGAAATAAATTATATTTTAGTCTTTAAACAATATCCTTTTTTTTAATTTAGTTCTTATAAGTAAAAAAATATGTATATATGAAAATTTATTTTAAATTTTGTCCCTACCAATACAATATGTTATAATAACGTTAATTTCTATTTTATGTAGTAAATAATTATCTAACGTGATAGGTTTAAGTTGTCTTTTAATTTATATACAAGATTCATTTTTTATATTTAGTCTCTATAAGTAAAAAATAAATTATATATAAATTTTTATGTAAAAAATTATTTTCAATTTCATCCTTGTCATTACAATAATATTTTTATAGTAGTGTTAAGTGATATTTTCTCATCATCTTCAAATGAGTATTTTGAATTCTTTAAAGAAATTTCATATTATACTTTATACTATATAAGCTAATGTTTCTTTGCTTTTAACTTGTGTAAGAACTATTCTTAGAAAACTTTATGTCTTGATTTGTCTACACGAGCATCACTTTTAATATTTTAATCTCAAATATTACTACTTATATGTTTTACTATTTTATAAAATCTTCATCCTTTATCCAATCTTGTTTTTTTAAGATAGTTAATTCGTGGTGATAGAAATAAATAAAAATCATAATGATAGTGATGATTAAATATTGATTCTGATTTTCTTACAAATATATCAAGAATATAATGGAAGAAATTTCTTAACTTTAAGCATGAGTAAGGGGGACATGATCGAGTTTTGAGATATTGGGATAAAAATGATTAAAGAAGGGATAATGATGATGATGAGATATGATGGAGCATCCAAGTAGTGATATTAGAGATAAAAATGCTTAAGGTAATGCTTATGTAAAATGAATCAAGACATAAGTTGAATGTGAAAAAGTATGAAGCATAATGTGAGGCTTATTTGAAGAATTTAAAATACTCCTCAGGAGACCATGAGTAAATATCACTTGACACTTATATGAAACTGTCACCATAATGATATGGACAAAATTAAAAATAAATTTTTATATAGGAACTAATATACAATTTTTTTTTCATATTGGAGTTAAATTACAAAAAAAAAAAATGTCTTGTATAGAAAAGACAATTTAAACCTACATTAGATAGTTGTTTGCCACATAGAAGAAAGCTTTTGTAGTTATAATGTACTGTAATGATAAGGATAAACATGAAAATAAATTTTCATACAAATTGATTTATAATTTTTTTTTTTTACTTATAAGGACTAAATTAAAAAAAAAAAAGGAGTCTTCTCTAAGTAAGGATGAAACTAAGTCCATCAAAGACCTACAATCTAACCTAACTTAACCTATTTAATTAATAGACTTAATTTAGACTTTTAAAAGGCTTAATTAATTGAATAAGGTAAACTTAAATTTTAGAAAAAACTTATTAAGTTTGATAGAACAGTCTATTTAAGATTCATAAAATTTATAATAATATATTAAATAATTTTATATAAAAATTATAATATAATATTATATTAAATAAATTAAATTTTAAAATGAATAAAATTTTGAATTAAAAATCCTAATCCTTTTTAAAAGTGCTCATATTACATATCCTCAAAGAGAGAATGTTGCTTGCTAGAATCTTTTGCGTTACTGTTATTTGATCTATCTAATATGCATATTCCTAATCTGCAGTTGTATTTATTGTATGTTTAGTAATTTACTTACTTACATCAAATATATAGTTTAAAAGTAATAAATTGAAATATATAATTTTATTACAAATATTTAAAGTGTTGAACTAATTTTTTATTTTATTTAAATATAAGTTTTATATCTTTCATAGAGCTATACATATTTATATGATTTGATAGCCTAAATAAAGAGACTTAATAACCTATTTAAGATCTTAATATGAAGTAAACCATTAAAAATACTAATAGGTCAAATCAAACTTAAAAAAAAAAAAGACTGAACTTAATAAAAAATCTATAACATATAATAGATTAGACTCAACCTTTAAAATTATTAAATAAGTCATGCATACTTATGCAAAGCCTATTCTAGTCTAACTTATTTTCATCCACATGTACATGAACTAAAAGATCACCTATCCTAATAAAATATAATGATAATATATGAATATTTTATTATATTTAGTATTTATTAAAGAAATTTAAATATTTATTAAAATAAATAAATAAAATAAAAACTTTATTTAATTAGATAATTGATTAAAGGAAAAAAGATTTTGATTTAATTTAAAATTTTAATATGATATATCACACAAAATTAGACGAGGTTTGTTTGTTTTAAAATGATTATTGCAGTAAGTTGTATATTTAAGGTGTTTTAAGAAAATTACAATTACCATTTCTTAATATACTTATTCTAAAAAAAATAAGTGTGTTTATTAATAACTCTAAGTGATAATATATATCAACTTATTTTTAGTTGACATATGTTAACAAGTTAACAATGATTTTTAGTGATTTTAAAAAATTAAAATTAAAATTTGTTGATATACTTATTTTATATATTGAATAAGATTAAATTAAATAAATTTTTAAAAATTAAATAATGAAAATTCTAATTAAAATTAAATAAAAACTTAATATATAAAAAATTACATAATATAATAAAATTATTTAATTATTAAAAATATTCTTATTTAAGATAACTTCCAAAAATTATTTCATTTAGAAGTTTAATATACAAAGATAGATCATAATTAAGAAATAGTATAAACCAAAATTCAATGTTACTTGTATAAATATAGTGTTGGTTTTGTTTAAGTTTGGTAAAATTTATTTTAAATTATTATATAATTAAGATAATTGAATAAAATTATTGAATAAATAATATTTGTGTACAATTACTATAAAAGTTTTTTTCCTTTCCATTTTTTTTTAAATTTTTTAAAGGAAACTAAAATTAAGTAATGATGTATTTTAGTTTATTCTCCTCTCCTCTTCACCTTTTCACTAAAATTTTTAATCAAATATAAAATAATTAAAAAAATTATTTTCACCTTTTTACTCTTTTCTTTTCAACTAAACATTGTAATTATGGTAAGTGAAATTGATTGTGAATGTTAAAAACATTTAACCTAAGAAGTGGAAGGAGTTAAAGCAATAGGGCATGAAAGATTCACAATATTTGTTTATTTTGTAAGTTTGTTTTACATGTTATTGAAACATGTTGAAGTGTTTTTATTTTCATCCTAAAATTAAGAGTACATAAAGTTCATTAAAAAATAAATCTATTTATATTATATTATCAAATATATCTTATGTCAATATCTACAATACTATCATTTTAAACTAATGTTTTTATATGAAGTTTAAAAGTTATATATTCACTTAATTGATTAAGAGGGAAAAGAAGAATGTGTGTTTAAACATAGGTTAAAAATAGAAAGAATTTTTAAATCCAAAAATCAACTGTGTTTATGGGTTTTAGAATTTGAATATCTTAAACTTGATCAAGAAGATAAATAGGTATGAAGGGAGATTCTTCAGAATATTATGAGCGTTATTGTAGCAAGAGACGAGCGTTCAAAATCACTATAACGAGAATGTCAAAAGTTGAGGAGTATTTAAAGGTTTTTCAAGTTGAGAAACTTGGATTATAATCCAAGTTACGACCCTCTCCACTCTCTTTGACTTCTCTCCTCATTTCCTCAGAAAATTCTTGAAAAAATCTCAACCTTTCTCCGATCAAAGCTCAGGAGTTTACTTTCCTTACTCTTTGGTAAGTTTTTGAAGTTTGGTTCTCCATTCCTGTGGTTATTTTCTTGTTTTCCTCCTCTAATTAGGATCTCTTGTGATAGTTAGGAAAAACTCAACATTTTAAGCAAGATCTCTTACAAACCCCTCACTAAACTTCCATTTCAAGGTAAGAAGAACTCTATCTTGTTACTAAGAAAGTGGTATGTTTGTGTTTATAAAAATGCTATGATGAAATACATGATTTTGAGTATATGATGGATGATAACATGTTTTTGTTATGTTTGAAGTATGTTTGTGGCGTTGAATGATGTGTATGACCCTTGTTTTGAGTGTATATGCATATATGTTGTGGATTGAGTGTGAGGGTGACCAACCCTCGGCAATGAATGATTAATATATAACGTAGTAATGAAATTGAATAAAATAGAGAGATGAAAGGATGAATAATATGTTAGTAGAAAGATGATAAGTTTGGGGCATAATAATGAGTAGAGTAAATCCATCATGAGAAATATAGAGATGATATGAAAAATATGAAAGTGAAATGAGATGAGGAAGGAATATGATAAGGATAAGTATGAATAGTTTAGAGGTACACTGGAGGTGTGGAAGATGGAGGCGATCGAGAAATCTTAGAAAAATAAAAGTGGTAGATGCTCTTCTTGAATTGTGCATAACAAATAAAAGTAAGAGTACCACAGGTCTCACACTTGTTTCCTAACTTAAACTCCTGATCATATTTTTGTTAAAAGGGGTCGAGTCGGCACACATTTTATCCTTGTAGCTGCAGCTATCTAACAACTATTTGTGCTAAGGAAGACCTCAAGGGATCTAAGTGCTACTAAAGAGAGAATGTAATAAGTTGAATAACTAATAAGTATTACTTTTGTATGAGCATAATCTTGTGACATGATGTTTTGTAGTACTTGCCTTGTTTGTATGGTTGAATTGGTTGTGCATGTATGTTTGGTAATGAGAATAGAGACTCATCCTTACAAATATTTTCAGGAAACCAGGATGACGAAACCTCGGGAAAGGATTAGGCTGATAGGTAGTTTTGTAACTAATAGGCTTAATCATGTATTTAATGAATACCAGAGAATATGCTTCTTTAGAATTGTTGTACATGTTGATGAGGTACTTAGGAATACTATTACGATGGAAATAGAACTATATTATAGTATCCCTTTTGATTTTTCTATAAGTAGAATACACCACACTTTGTGTGTATATATCTTCCCCGACCCAGTTAGGACCCCAGTGTTGTGACTTACCTGTTTACATATCATGATCACGATTATCTGAGAAGACCCTCTAGATAGACTTTTGAGCGTGTTACCGGCAAGAAGACTACTACTGACTCAGGTGATCCTTATCTTGAATCAGATAATGACTTCGATTTTGAAGACCTGGCAAAAATAGAGAATTGGCATAGGACCGACTAGTATTGGGTTCTCAGTGTTTGGTGTATTTTGAAGAATGCTCTAGGACTTAATTTGTCAACTTGTTGTAATTATTTTAACTGTGTAAATATTATTTTAAGTCTGATATATTTTAACAAACAATTTTTAAATTATTATACTTGATATGTATAAATACATGTTCAGTTCTTAATTAAAAAAATTTTGATTATGGATTATTACATTCTTTAAACTCATTGCTGTTTCTATTAATATTGTACGCAATTGAATATTTTTATTTACAACGAACCTATCCCAAATGAGACTTTCATTGATTTGATATAATAATGTTTAATAATGCGAAAAATGGAATTTCTATTGTAACCCTCCAAATTTTGTACATTATTAATTATTAATATAAATATATGAGTTATTGTTTGAATATTTATTTGATGTATATGATGATATGAATATATGTGAATACTGACTGTGTGATCAGTTAGATGTGAATATGATTGTAAAGATAGTTGTATAGTGTGGTTGGAATGTGATGTGGAATTGTGATTGGACTGGAATTATTTGAAATATAGGCTAAGTGTGTAATGCAGGGGCGATCTCGCTATAGCGAGAAGGCCGTGGGCGAGTTGGGTGATTCTGTTACGTTCTCGTTGTAGCGAGAAGACAATAGAGAATGATGCATTTCTGAGTGCAGTCTCGCTGTAGCGAGATTCTACAGAAATCAGAGTGCAGTTTCTTCTGAAATTTTCATTGTAGCGAGGGGGAGCCCTCGCTGCAGCGATAGTGTCGCGATCAGAAAGGTATTTGAGGAATTTAGCGTTTGGGGAACACATTGCCACTCTTTTATCTTCATCTCTCTTTCAATTCCCTCTATTTTCAACTCGTTCTTACTGATTAAACTGCTTCCAAAGCCATTTGGGAGCTGGATTGAATGTTGAGATTGTGTTTGGGGACGCTTGGAGGTAAGTTCTAAGAGTTAGGGTTTTGGTTTTCGTCCCTCTTCCTTGTCCTTTCGGTTTCTTATGGAGATTTCCATGTTTTAGGAATGAAATCTGTGTGGAGAACATTTTCTATACAGTAGAAACTCTTTAAATTAATACTCGATAAATTAATAAACTCTTTAAAATAATAAATTTATCCGGTCCCGACTTGGGCCAATATAAAAAATTGAAAAACTCGATAAAATAATAAGATAATAATTTTTCGAGAGATCCCTTTATAATTTTCGGTTCCAAGAAAATCATAAATTAATAATTCATAGAAACTGAAAAAAAAATATTACACTCTATTGAAATATGATTCAATAGTTGTCTGTTTCCTTTAAAGTTTAAGTCTATTTATAGCTCATCTCTAACTTTTCTTATTGCATCCAATAGCTCAGGTGTTGTATTTTTGTATTGTATCATAAAGTTGTGAAGAGTGTTTGATGCCATAAGTGCTTCCTTTTGCGTAACAGGCTCCAAAGATACTGTATCATCTTCGTCATCATCCTCTGCATTGTTCTCAATGATAGTACCCATAATATCTTCTAAACTTTGAACCTCCGAACATGCTTCATTTTCACCTGGGTAGTTTATTAGATTGTCGATATCCATCTTATTACGATAGCCACATTGATTGATCATAGTCTCGAGGTCTTGAGTTTCTTCATCAAAAGTGGATTCATCCAAATTTCTTGCAACGTCACTATCTGAACGAATTTTACAATATCGGAAGCAATTCACTATTGTTTCTTTTCGAACATCTATCGTCCAAGTTGGGATTGCCAAATTGATAGCATCAAGGACATTTGTCTTCCCTGGATCAGATTGTCCCACCTCATAACTTTCCAATATTTTGCGGTAAAACCTTCTACGGTAATGCATCTTGAAAGCTCTTATTATCCCAGCATCGCAAGGTTGAATCTTTGATGTCATGTTGGGTGGCAAGAAGAACAACTCAACGTTTCTTAGCCCTTCAATATTTCTTGGAAGTGCTGGACAATTATCCACCACAAGTAGAACTCTTCTACCATGCATTATTTGGTCAAATGAACGAACATATTCATCAAAAAGCACACTAGTCATCCATGTTTTTTTGTTAGCTCGATACTGACAATTCAAGCTATTCATGTTGACATTCTTGAAGCAACGAGGCTTTGCATATTTCCCAATAATACATAGAGGGATTTTTTCAGAGCCATCTTCATTGCAACAAATAACTACCGTCAGCCTTTCTTTATCTTGTTTTCTTCCTTCAAGTTGTTTTGTTGCCAGTGAATGATTAGCTTGTAGCCTATAAAACAACCCAGTTTCATCTATATTGAAAACATCTTTCATAGGGAACTGATCAATTTTCTCCCGAATCGATACCAATTTTTGCTCCATGTCTTGTATATCAACAGACCCACTCTCGCCAAAACGAAGAAATGACTTTATGCCATGTCGATGCTTGAATTTCCCAAGCCATCTTATAGAGAAGTTAAAATCTGAATCATCATGAGGGTACACGAGTTTCATTGTATCTCTTGCCTTCTGCAAAATTAATTCTCCTGTGATATTCACACGTTCTTGATGCTGAAGAAACCACTCATAAACAACCTTCTCCATGTCAGGATATTTTGCTAGTTTGTGTCTTTTGATCTCTGCTCTTCCCTTTTCTATTTTAGCAGAGAGATAGTCATCTGACCGCTTAAGTGTGTTTGATATTGTTTCTTGACTAACTTTCAACTGAAATTTTCCCTTAAGCCATCTCTGCAAGTCTTTTTGTGTGCTTGCAGGATTATCTCTCTTATACTCACACAACTCCTTACGTATTTGATCTGACATAGTTGATTTTGCAACACCTTTTAGATGAGAAGCCATCTTGTAAGATATGGTTTGAATACTCTAACACATTCATGTAATTTATATATGTCAAACTTGCTTAAGAATACATTGAACACATTTGTTCCTCTTGTTTACATTTACTGTACTTCAAAAGTCATTATTAATTTCCAATGCATATGTAGTGTAGTTACTAATTTACTGTACGTTGAGTCCCAAGGTTTGCTGCAACGTAATTCTAAGAGGCATAGATTAATTTGCCTTTTTGTTTGGTATGTACAGTATAATTACTTAAAAACTCTTTAAATTAATAATTATTAATTTATCGATAAATTAATAACTCTCTAAATTAATAAATTTCTCTGGTCCTGACATTATTAATTTAAAGAGTTTCTACTGTAGTTAGATTATGTTGGGCCTTCGATTTGAGAGGTGAGGGAGAACTCTAACCTATCTCATTGTGCTTTAAATCCGTTTATTTGACTATGTATTGCAATGTGGTTAGGATAAATGTAGGGATATGTGTGTGTTGATGTACATTTTGTGTTGAATATGATTTGTGAGGAAATGTGATGGAAATTGTGTGGTTGGTTATAATGTGGTTGATGTTGAATAGTGCGTGTGTTGAGAATGGTTTAATTGTACTTGGAATCGTGTTAGAAATGTTGTGTGTTTGAATGTAACGCGATTGAATATGGGTATACGTGCCATGTATGAAAGTAAATATTAAGATGTGATTGAAATTGTTGATGAAATTATGTGTTAGCATGCCATCGCTTGATGTTGAATAATTTGAATGGTTGAAAATGTATGTGAATGATATGTTAGATGCGATTGTGAATGTGTCTGAATATATTGAAAGCTATGAATGGTTCAGTGATACACTGAGGTGTGTGAAAGATGGGACCGATAGAAATATCTTAGGGAAGAGAGGGTGGTGATGACACCAACAGTGAGCGTAAGTGCACCACATGCCACACACTCTCTTCCTGATTCGGTCTCTAACTAACACCTTTGCCAAGAGGCCCGTGACCACATATACTGTAACTGTGAGACGTGTGTTATCCGGCGACCATCCATGGTATAAAGCTGAGTAAGTCCTAAAGGTTGAAGGCATCAGAAAAACTATAATCACAGTGAGCGCAAGCGGGTGTAAATTGTTTGATGGTGTAGTAAGCACACCTATGTCTGGATGAGAATGAAATGTTGAAATTATTGCTTGTGTTTGTATGAGGAGTGATTTATATTATGATGAAAATATGTGAAATGGATAAGGTGAGACTCTATACTTATTTATGTGTGTAATATTGGATGCTAAGATAAAATTTTTAAATAAATTATTAGTTAATTTTTAATAAAATAAATTATAATTTTAACAATTGAATTGATAAAATTTAAAGTTTATAAATATTTATTAAGTAAAGTAAGTCTTTTCATTATTGTTTTATTAGATCTCTATACATAGATAGACACACACATAGTTATGTAATTTTTTATTATAATAATTTATGTCCAATTTTGTAAAAGTAAACAAATTTTAAGAACGTAAATGAAGGATTTTTTTTATATATTTTAAAAGTATATGTTATGATAATTTTATCACTTTCATAAAATTATATGTTATCTAAATTATGTGTATTAAAACTTGTAAAAAATCAAATGATTATAAGAATACAATCAAAGAATTTTCATTTTTATATATTTTAAAAATATATGTCATGCTAATTTTATCACTTTCATAAATAAATAAATATATATATATATAATTTATTATTTGTGTTAAAATTTATAAAATTCAAAATATAAAAAAATGCATTATATATTAAAAATTAAAAATGTTATTCATTTTTGTATCTTTTAAAAATATATGCTATGCTAATTTTATTACTTATAATATGATTTTTTATTGATCTAATTTGATGAATTATAATTATATGTTATATTCAAAAGGATTCTTATTTTCATATTATATATATATTATATTAATTTTGATATATATATAAAATAAAGTATTAAATAATTTAAATTAATCTAAAATTTTGTAAATATAATTTACATAACTTTTAATTTTTAGAGTTGATTTTATGATTAAACTATTTAATAAAAATTTATTAAATAATACTAAAGTAAGTGTAATTACATGTAAGAAACACACAAATGAAGAGATTAACTTACTCTAAAAATAATTTATTACTTTATTTAATAATTTTTATAGACATAATATTTTGTAAATGTAATCATTAGTTTAAAATTTTTAATAAATAAATTAAATATACAGAAATTATAAATTTTAAAAATTATATTTTATTAAATAATTTATTTTAACATATAATATATATTTCTTATATCTATGAATGTTTAATTTATCTAAAAATTAACATGTATAATAATAAAAATAATATTGCATGATTCAACTATTAAATTAATAAAATTCAATAATTATCTATACTATAATTAAGCTGACTAAGTAACAAAAATTTATTAATGAAATAAGTATATTTCTTTTATATAATTTAAATTAAGTATAATAAATATATTTAAAGGTATAAATTGATATTTCTAAAATATTTGTTTGAATTAAAAAATTAATAATACACTTTTTAATATACTTTTTATTATTAGTTAATATTTATTAAAAGTTAAAAAAATAGAAGAAACATTAATTAAAAATAAAAAAAAATGAAACTACATAATTTTTTAAATTTTTAATAAATTTTAACTAATAATATAAAATATATTATAAAGAATGTGTTACCCAACGTTATTCTTTGGAATTTAAATCCGTTGCTTTATTTATTATTCGTTGTGCAGCAGCATGATATACGCAACCTTATTGGCCACACAAAGTCTCCTTTCCTTATCCAGATTCGGCGGAAAACAAGTATTTTGAATCTGATAAGGCATTCCGACTGGGAATTACTGAATGGCCCCAGATAGCAATCAATTGAGGATGTTTAGCTTATCCAACTTTTATTGCAAAACAACGTCAAATAAAAACTTAGTAAATATTATAAATACCAAGTTATTGATTTATTGTTTTAAAAATATACTTAATGTCAATTTAACTTTTTACAAATTTTACTTGACTTGAATTACGTGAGGTTTAATGTGGCTTTCAAATATTAGGAGACTTGTACAAAATATAATAGTTTGGTCAATTAAAAACTGAAATAACGCTATTGAAAATATTTTAAATATTTTGTGTGTATATTAATTCAATTAAATCAGAACTATCCATATGATTTAATTATAGTAAGATTATTTGAGACTTCTTTTGTAATATGCATAGGTCGAGCTTTTATAGAAAACATAAATTTAGCTCATTTATATAACAAACTGTTAAGTTAGATTTGACTTATTTGTTTATTAAATTAAAGCAGAGTGCTGGTTAGTACAAAAATTTGGACTATGAACGAATTATGAAACACGTAATAATATTTTATTAGTTAAATGTAAAATAAATAAATTCATCAAATATTTAATAAACAAACAAATTTTTTTTTTTGTAAATAGTTGAGTTTATTTTTATCTTTAATTAAATTTAACTAATATTTATTAGAAAATTGGTTGATTAATTATCGTTGTCTATTTGATAGGACTCGGTCGAAGCAATGGATACTAGTCAACATTTTTCAAAACTAATTTATACAAAATTAATTACTACCATTTGGCGTTCCTCTAAAATAATTAACTTGATCAAATATTTAACAAACAAACTTAATAAATTAATATAGTTAAACTTAATTTTATTTCTAATATTACTATTTTAACACTAAAACCGAGTGTATATACATAGACATCGTATCATATACATGAAAAAATAGACACAAACACTCCATAGTACGTATATTCCAAAATTTTATTTTCATCGTCTCCATAGCATGTTTCTTTCCCATTCCCTCAGGCTAGTTGAAAATCACCTCTCTTCCCTAAATTCATTCTCTATAGGTTGTGCACTCTCGGTCTCCCTCTCTCAAGCTTGCATGTTTTGATTTTTCCTTATTTTCTTTTTAAAGGGAGGGAGCAGGGTGGGTATTAGATTTATTGGGAATTACATGTTTATATTTTGAACTCTTGGATAGTCAATAACACAACCAACATTGTGGTAAAAAACACAATTAGATTAAGCTTTCTGGATTATTATTATTTAGCCTATAATGTTATTATTGTTTGTATATGTCTTGAACTACTATCAACCCCTTCTCATCTGTACATACTAGCCTATGCTATGAAAGGGTCTCTTCTTCTTGGATTGAAACATGCAAATTATCTAGCTAAAAAATTTAACTTCCATATATTTTTTCTTAACATAAAATTATGTATTATTTTTATGGTATAAAAAATTATAGTTTAACTTTCTAAATCATTTTTTATAATAATAATTTTTTATATTTATCTTGACTCAAGTAGTAACTTTTTTCAAAACTTTTTAACAATTAACACAATAATAGAGTTTAACTTAAAAATAATAATCATGATTAAATTTTTAAAAAATAATATTTTTTGAAATATTTTTCTTAATATATTAATCTAGTTAAAATAATTGTATAAATAGAATTAAGAGAGTTAAATGCTTTAAGTTAATACTAGTTAACTAAATATTATTTTGGTCAAACAAGTATCTTAATTGATTAACTGAGTTAACAACTACTTATCTAATACATTATGGTATATATCAGTAAATTTTATTGTTAAATTTCAAAACTTTTTAAATAACTACTTGATTAAATAACTTATTCAAATGTATTTGAGTAATTTCATAAATTTACGCAAACTTTTGTAAAAATTTTCTTAACATCCTTTGACTTATGAATTGTATACATTTAAAATATTTATGATTTTCAAATTGTTTGATATTTCTTTTATATTTATTCCCTTATTTTTATATATCATTTATTATATATATTTATTATTATTTTTATATCTTTTTGCATTTGATGTTAATTAGTAACATCCTGATCTTCCACAAAGCTAACTCCAATGTCTTTCAGTTAGACTTTCCAACTTGAGAAGTAGATGCATTTCCTCTACCTTCTACT